AAGGCATAGTTTTTAAGATGTTAGTTTTCCATATTGCTTTCTTAAAAAATATTGTTGCTGATAAAGTGTTTTTAGAAATATTTGGAAAAAATTGCACATATTTATTTGAAAATATTTTGAGATGCACCCCAATCCCATTTTCATTCATGAAAATCCATAATTCATGTTTTATCATGTGTGCCCATTGATTAATTTATTATTACATATCTGTTCTGCTGTTTCTTTACAATTAATAGGTGTGCAGACAGGGTTATATCATTGCTCTCATACTGTTATATCCTGGTATCAATATACCTTGCCACATTAACTAAGTACTTCATAATGAAAGGAAGGACAGTTATTCAATGGGAAGTTGAAGAAGGTAGCAGTTGGATCCTATATTAGTCAGTTAACGGAGGTAGTGGAGTTCTTAGATGACAGCAGTAACAATATTATCTCATATTACTTGATAAAAGAAGCTACTGTATTTAATTATAGCATTGATTACCAATCCTTTTTTTACTGACTTAACATTGGAGGGAGTGATAGAGAAACATTGCACACATCACATCAGCATTAGGAGTTGCTGCAGAGGAAAAACTGCAATCGGATATTGCACATGCCGTTCGGAAGCTCTTTTCTTGCATTCTGTATGACTCTCTTGATATGATCATTGATGACAAGGTGTTCTACCAGTGTTTGCCATGATATGTTTATTGTTGTGTGATTAGATAAAGGTGGATGTTTCATTTGTAGTAATCTTCTTAAGAATATAAGTTGAAAGTTACATTGGAATCTCTAAGAACAAGATGGAAGCAGCAGGGATTCAAATTATAGTGGTAAGTTCTGAATCATTAGTTTTGTGGTATAAAAGAAATTAATTGTTTTATGATTGTAATTGGAACCCATATCATTATGTAATATTTTTGTGCTTTATGCAGATTTTTGACTTCCATTTTTTATAACAGTTACTTAAAATCGTGCATTTAGAAGCAATTTCTATTCTGTCATAGAAATATTAAGTTAAATACAGATGATTTTGAGCCCTGTTTAGGACAAGAATGCCTGCTAGAAGTTTAAATGGAAGAGACAAAAACATGGATTTTTTCTTCAGTTGACCTATTAAGCAAAAGATTTCCTATAAAGATTTTGCGATGCATGCACTTTCCAGTTCTGATGGTGACTAATGGCTGTGATTTTTATATTAAGTAAAACCCACAGGAGAGCATTTTCTTAGAAAAATTTATAGCAAATGATTCCTTTGCAATTAGAAAAAATTGATATGATGATGGAGTAGTGTAAGCCCTCTTAATGGATATGGATCCCTAGGATAGGCCATCTGTAATTTGATTGCAAAAATGGTGACATTAAAAATAGTGTAAATCCTCTTTGGCATTTTGTTAGTAAATGATACCTTGTAGTATTTATTCATTTCAAAATCTGGACACTGTATTAAAAATGAATGGGTAAGCAGAAAGGAGAATTTCAAATTCCCAGAAATGATATTAGTTTGAAAAAAATTCTGGATTAATATCTTTGCTTTTTGCTAGTCACTGGATTGCAGCAGCTGGAATCAATCTAAACCAATTTCTTTCAGCTTGTATCAATTCTGTAGGGGAGAGATATGCTCCATTGGGGATTGTTAGGTAATTTTAAACTTAATTTTAAATTTAGCAACAATTCCCTTTTGGGTTGACTGTGTCAAATGTGTTGTGGGTATGCAGCCTAAATCACTTTATCATAGCTGTTTGGTCAACACTTGCAAAACTCATCTTTCAAATGCAGTGGATAATACATTAAAAATCTTATCAAACAGCATATAGCATGTATATCCAATGCCACAATCATAGTGTGCTTTATATATTTGAACTTCCTAGCTGTTTCATGGAAGAAGCCATGAATCTTATTGGCTATTCTAACCATAGTTAGATTTAGGACACCCTTTTTGCTGGCGTCCTTGATAAGGGTTCATGTCTATATTGTTGGATACTGCCATGAATATTTACCTTACATTTCAAAAGATGTCTTAACTAATATTAAGTTTTTTTTCAATAGACATGGTTGCAGCAATGATTCCCTTGCTGCTGCTATAACATCAGTGCAGACTTGCCTCTTTGAGGAAAACTTTGTACATGTATGGCTAAAAATTGTCTGTATTTAAAATGGATATTGCCATTACCTGTGGCTGATGGTGTCACAGGAGCCAAAGCTACACCATAAGTCATTTACATTTCTTGTAACTGTAACTGTAACTGTAATGCCTGGGAACCCAGTTTGCTGTTTTGCTTCAAAGGTACAGTGGTTGCTTGTTATGCTAAAATTCAGGTCAAGTTTAAATCTGGGCATGATTGATTATTTCTTGTATTTTTTTGAGATAATTTTTTTCAATAATTCTGGCCCTGTAAATACTGTCTCAGTCATATGAAACATTTCGGATTAAAGTTTTTAGGATTGCACATAATGGTAAATTCAAGTCAGCTTAAAGACTGACCATGATCCGATATTCTTTAAATTTTTATATACAGCCACCATAGGTGTCTGTACATGTATATATCCTGATTGGTTTGTCTGTCCATGTCGTCGCAGTCACTTTCATTGTTAGTTGACATATAATTTTTGCCCCATAACTTTTCGTTTTACTTTAAATTTACTGAGTGGCTTTGTTTGGTAAAGAGGCAGGTTGCTTTTGAAAATTGGCATGATCAGTTTACATTTACGGTAATTATTATTATTTTTTTTTGTGTGAAATTTTCATTTTTCACACCTAAGCATTTTCAGCAGCTTTTATATCCCATAGAGCTGAATCACTCGCTATTTTTTCAATGTCCATGTTACCTGTAGTACATTATGTAAGAGGGTAAGAGTGATTATGTTGTTTTGAAGCATTATGTAACAGTGCATCAAAATTGGCCAAAACATTATTTTGTGCACTTTTTTCTGCGTAATGTCTGAACATTTGACAGCTTTGCTTCCTTGTTTCAATACTTTTTTCTTATAAATTAAAATCAACAAAAGGTATTAGATATTTTTTTCTTTCAAATTTGGTCTTGCATTTGATAATTGTGGCATTATTTAGGTATAAGAACCCATTTACCAAAGCTTAAAGACACATCTCTCTCTTTTCCTACCAACTTCTTGGACTCATATCTAGGGACTGAATTATTCAGTCTGAAGTTTTTGTTTTCACCATATTTAAAGTGAGGTATGCTAGCTTTGACTGGTTTGTTGTTTTACAGGATTCTTGCTCTGTGCTTAAAGTGACACATATCTATGCTGTCTTAATTTAGCTACTGGTCTGCATATTTGAATGCTTTCACTTTTCTGTTGTAGTTTTTTCCATGTACGTGAATTAGGCAGTTATCAAAGCTTTGATCAGTACTTGTCAGAATTATTAGATACCTTTGAAGCAGGTTTTAAATAACAGTTATCAATAACATTTACTTTAACTGTCAATTTGGTTCACTGTTTTTTTAACTTGAGTAACATTGATTCAAAGGCCTGTAAGATTAAAGACATTCTAAAATGTGATCTCGATTGTTGGAAATAATACTTTTTTGGAATTGATTTGAATAAAGTTTGATTTCATGTTGCTGGATAAAAACATGTATGTGTCCACAGAAACTGCAAATCCATTTGTCAATCTGAAAAAGAATTATTCAGAACACATGCAACACATTTGTTATTGCTTTTTTTTTCTGACTGTACCTAAAAGCTTAGCTCACAGTGCTCAGTCATTAACTTGTACAATGTACACATGTTTATGTAAAGATTTGATTTGGGATTTAAGAAAGGATGGGAATTAAATATTGATTTTTAATTTTTTGTCACATTATGGAATTCACTTTCTTGGATTTACTCTAAAACAGAATAAATAAGGAAAACTGTGTTACTTATTATTTTAAAACTTGAGATGTAGGCCTAAAATACAGTTAGAGGTAAAAACATATGTCAGTCTTGACATCTATATGTCTGTCCATCTAACTAGTTGGGTGCCTTGTTTTTACGTACTTAACAAGTGACATCAAAAAGAGAGGGAACCAATAATTAGTATTTCACTGCATAACTATTGAGAGGAAATTTAGGAAAGAGGCATATAAAGCAAATAGGTAAAGGGATAATAACTCTCATTTTGGCCAAAAAATGAATTTTCCTGGAGTAAACAACAATTTTCCCATACTTACCAATGGTTAATGAATCCATTTTTACATTCAAAGATAGTCCCTGTTTTTTTTCTAAAAAGTTTTTTTTTTTGTTAAAATTTCTTTAGAGATTATAACAGAGTATAGCCGTCAATGGAGGTCACGTGGTCTAAAGACAAGCTTAGATATCAGAATAATAGCTATAAATGCCGTTTTTGTGGTACAACAGAATATATTATACTTCTATGAGTTGTTCACAATGTTTTTATTGTGAAATATAGATCTCATACAAAGAGTTATTGTCCCTTTAATATCAGCCAGATTGCAATGTGGGAACTCGAAATGAAATGCTGTTTTAAAGACCTGTTTTTTTTTCGTATTGTAAATCAAATGATTTAAGAAGCACAACTTAATTATTAGTATAGTTCATGAGGTTGGATAAGAGATTAGTTTTTACTAAGATGCTCTTTGACAGAAACCCTTAATTTATTCTGCTGCTCAAGTTGTAAATACCCTAAAAAGTCTACAAAGGATTTTTCATCCATTATTAAAATGGGGATATGGTATGCTGCATTTTATCTGTATTTTTTAAGTAATACCACATTTCTCTTTAAAAAAGTTCTGTGATAGATAACTTAAAAGGTTATCTTCTGAAAAATTGATTCTTGCAAAATCGTAAAATTATGCTGTCAAATATTTGCTCCATCTGATAAGTGCTATATTTATGACAGTACTTGTGGCCTGTTGGTGTAGTATCTACTTGTAGGGTAGTTTTTATTTGCACGTCATGACCAAACTGAGATTTGGAAAGCGACGAACAAACAGAAAGAGCCTAGGGAAAATACACCCTCAGCAGAAAAGGTAATCCCTTCCTGTTGCCAAGTCTGCTGAATTATAAGTTCCTTGATGTATGATATGGTGTTTGATGGAGGTGGAAGTCAAGGTTAATGGATGAGCCACGGTATGACATTTTATCTTCACAGGATACGGAACATGTTGCTTCAGCTCATAAACCGGGCCACGGTAAATTAGGTCTTCATACTTGTTGAAAGTCAAATTTATTGGTGCTTTATTGTATGAGTTAACTATTGTTAAGTGTGATGGGTGAAAGAGTGGTTGGTGAGGGGAAGGAGTACTAGTATGAAAGTGAATTTAATTACTTGTTTAGAAAAAGATAATATTACATAAGAAACTTATCATGCAGTATATGGAAATGTTGGGATGAGGTTTACTATTACATCAGAAACCATTGCATCTCATATTAATATGATGCATCTTTATAGTGTGTGACATGTTGTACACATAAACATGCAAATACTTGTACTTGAGTGCTGCATGTAGCTTTGATGCACATTAGATCTGTGTATGGAGTCAGCAGATAAAACTACTGCATCCAAGTGGGTGGCAGCCCTCATTTCTGAATTTTGTTGGAAAAAAGTAGCAAATTTATCTTGAGTATATATGGCATAAATTGTTCCCAGTATGCTGTAGTTTATAATTTTGTATGTCCATGGATAATTGTATGTTTTGGCTTATGATGTGTGTGTGTGTGCATGTATGTGAGTGAAAGGGGGGGGCATAATGATATACCAGTCTATCCAGGAAGTAGTTGTACAGGATGGTACAGGACCACTGGACAATGTCATCACAATACCATACAACACAACATGACATAATACAACACAACACAACAATTTATTTGAAGTCAGTACATATTGATCAGTGCAGTTTTATGGTACGCATATGCACTGACTTGAATAGAATGGTAACAAGGAAGTAAAATTTAAGGTGCTTGGTACAAAGTAAACAAATGTGTTTAATAAGTTATAAGGAACCCATGCATGGTACTTTTTTTGGCGAATGATCATGCAAACACAACCTTGGGTTTGTTTGCCTGTGTAATGTGAACATTTCTGCATTGCAAGGTAGTATGTTTGTGTGGTTTATATATATATACTAGTAAAGGTATGGCTATGGGTTTGCAGTTGTCAGCAGAAGGTTTAAGGTATTCAATTTGGTACTATTTAAAGGGGCATGTAAAGGAAGGAAAGGTGCCTATTTGTTGTTGAGGTGATATATCAGTGTTAGAAATTGTGTCTTAAATATTTGTCAAGATAAGGTGTATACTTTTTTTTTGCCAAAAATCTTATTTTAGTTAATTTTTTTATCCCTTTGGTGTGTTCAGTTTTAAACTTGGCTGTCATCTGATTCATTCTCCTTTGACCACTGCTACAGGAAAGAGAGCAAACTTCTTTCAAGATTCATGGTGCAGGATTTACTTGAGGAAAAAAAAACATATTTCTTACAAACCAATTCTGAAAAGAAAACACTTGTGTCATTGTAAAACACTTGTGTCATTGTAGGCTGTAGTAGAAATTGTTCTGCTAGTTTTCTCAGTGGCTAACCATTCAGGTATGTGTATGACCTTATTTGTCTTGTAGTCCTGTCCAACATATGCAGCTTGTAATTGAAATTATATTGCAGCCTTCAACAAGATAATGTGTTATGCCCATTATCACTATGTCAATATTGCTACTATTATATATCAGTCATAGAGTCCTGATATTGAGAGAAAATACTCATCATTTTACACTACATTACAAGGTGTGTGTGGATTGATAATTATGTTTGGAATGGTGATTGAATTATTTTGTGCATAAAAACCTGAAATAACCCACATCAGCGATAACAAAAAGAAAAAAAAAGTAAAGAAAAACTTCACCTGCACCTTTTTACTTGCAACAAAAACATAATTTGACAGTTATGACAGTCCATATGTTCAGTTAAGCTGAATTATTATATTGATTATCAGCTAGGTGTCAGGTAGAGGGCATAAAGCCTGGATGTAATACATATATATTACTAGTACATTGTCACTGTTGTAATACATATATATATTTTGCCTTGGTTGACGTTGTAAATGGATGCAGTGTGTCTGTCAAGTACAGTTCATGTTGAATCTTTTCTCGCTATTAAGGAGTGAATACACATTTATGAAAGGATCGGGTAATTGCCAGTGTGTAATTATTGATAAATGCGTGCATATGTTTGTGCACATATTTCTGTATTTGCTGTTGACAGAGTGCATCATGTTTGGGTAAAGATATTGAAAGTTTTTCACATTTATAGAAGTATATGGTACAAGTATGATGTGTAATATAGTCATATAACATGAGCATGTATTGTAATAATGTCATCATGTTACATGACTATTATTTTTTATGTGTGGAAATGTTTATGTTTGTACTTGCCCATTCAGATAAGATGCAATGCCATATATACCTTGGTCATGTGGTATTTCTTTTTGTTAGACTCCCCCCTTCCCCTCTCTCACTTCCTGGTGGATGTATAAAAACCTTTGTGGTTAACATACTGTCTAGACAAAGATGGATCTTCAGTTTCAGAGTCTGGATGTGTTATGTCTATATTGACAGACATGAAAAGCATACAACCTCCACGTAGAAAACATCTGAGGTTAGGTTACATAATGACAAATTGATATTTTTCTCAATCTTTTTGTAGGCTACTAGAGTACCTCAGCAAGGAAAACCAATTGATTGTAACATAAAGCTGAGTATTACTCATTCAACTATTTACCTTATATAATGTTGAAAGCAGTTATGTGCAAAGTGATGCAGAGAGATAGAAAGTGAAACAGACAGATGTTGTTAATTTATAATCATGATAAGAATGGGAGAAAAAACTATATATGAAGCCTTATACAGTACTAGTTATATATTCCTAACATCATCTTATCTGTTGTGCATGATTAAAATTTGGTATCAACTTTGCTGTTAAGCACAATGTAGTATTGTATCAAAATTGACAAAATAACCAATTTTATGCATCATTTTTATTTCTTTTTTTTTTGTCAGTACAATTGACAGCTTTGCTGCCTTTATTAATTGAGAAAATTCCATGCAGAATTATATTTCATGGTATTGGTTTTGAGCCATAGAAGTTTTAAAACAGTTTGGGATTCAGAATGTAGCTGCTATATATATGTTGCTACCACAGGATTGAATCTACTGTGGAGAATCACAGGTGATTGTTGCAAAATAAACTGGGCTGATATCTCGAGTGATTAATATAAACATGTATATCATAAAATTGTTATTATTGATAGTGAAGAAACCAATAAAGCAAACCACTTTCAAAGACTATAATATATGGATTTGCTTTCGTTTAGCAGCTATGCATTTGCCTTTGTGTTCCTGTCACCAGATTTACATATTTGCAGCATCTCTACAGCAATCAAAACTAGTACAACATAGTTACATAAGCAAGTAGTAGGGAATGATAAGAACATTTACAAGAATAGAACTACATGTATTCTTTTTCTGACATTGCCTCATTACCAATCAGGGTAGCAACCCAAAATAGACCTTTTGTTACTTATGATATAGATTTTTTCATGAGTCTTATATTCTGAACTCCCAGACAATCTTTGGCTTTGAGAAAAATGGACCACAAACTACAGTGCATATAAACAGCCATTCTTTCCATTTATTTGTTTATTTCAGTACTAAATACAGGTTACAATTTGATAGAATGAGTAGTGGAAAGTACTTTGAAAATGTCTCTAAAAGGTACATGTATACTCTATATATTTGGAAATGTACTAGTTATATTTTTTGTCTTATTGTCCTGCAAATCAATTTATCTATCTCAATTCAGACCTTAAAACTTATAAAACCACTTAAAATTAATTTAAGTATCTTATGTTAATATTTGTTTCTGACGACACTGGCAGTTAAACAAACCATGAATCATTTACAACTAAGTTATTTAATTATAAAATGATACAAAACTTGAATACAAGTGCATGGATGCGTCAAGGACTGATTAGTTAGTAGCAGAAAAATTGCCTTTTTTCTCAGGAGAAAATAAGATTTGGCACTAAAATGATGTAAAGGTACCTTTAAATTAGAACTTCAGTGGTGTTTGCTTGAACTGACTGAATACAACAGTTTACTGTGAGTGTCAACAAGTTCTCATTCTGGGTAGAAATCTGATATTTAGAGACAGATAGGTAGATAGATAGATAGATAGAAGTCAGCACTCATCTTTTTAGTTGAATACTTTAAAAAATTATGATGAGCATAGATTTTTTCCTGTTCTCTAGGCCTCTTAAGCAAATGTAGTTTGACTTGAACATGCATTGATACTGCTGGGAATGGGTTTAATGCAAACTAAATGTCACTGTCTTTGATGTGATGTGACTGAATAGGTTCTCATCAGACTATCATACTAGCTAGGACACTGTCATTACTCTGATTACTTGGCTTCGGTTTAGATGATCTGCGTAATGAAAGATGACATTTTTTATCTGTGTAAGAACACAGAGGCAACCCTTCCAATGAAAGACACTGCTGACATTGTTCACATAGGTCAAGTAATGAAAAGGAGAATGATTATGTACATTCTCAAGTGTAAAGAAGTGAATGAACAATGATTTTAGCAGATTTCACAACTACACACACACTACATGTAGAAGTTACATGGGGAATAATTGTATCAGTTTGGAAAGTATCATGCTCTAAAATGGACAATGACACTGTAGATAACATGTTGATACTTGAAGGTACAATATTGTTTTGTTTGAAAATAAACAGATTGTAAGCCCAATGACAATTACATGTTTGATATTGTGATTGATAAAAGCTGTTCCCACAGGAGTATTGGAATTGCATATTAATTTATTTGCACTCAATTATTCAAAGTCATGCTATTTCCAGCACTTATTGTCATAGCATAAAGCAGAAGTATTTACAGCTGCATATGCTCAGCAGTCTTTTGATAATGGTAATGAGATATTTTTTATTTGTCAAGTTTTCTATTTAATGAAATCTGTTAAAGAAACTTGCCTAACCAAGAACTAATTGGTTTATTTTGCACTGAACTTGAGGCAGTGGTAAGAATAATCAATCTGTACTTTTCTTTATGTTGCCATATGTACAAATGTTAACTAAGAAAAAGGTTAATTGCAAAAGCTTGTTTGATATTATGGTCAGAAGATGTGTTTTTTTAGGCGACAGGCTGCCAGTGTACCGTACATGTATTTCTTGTCAAATTGGGTCAAACTTACTCAGTATGGCCAGTTTTAGCTTGTTGTCTGCATACAATTTAGCTCCATTATTGTTGGCAGTCAATATCTAATAGCTGGAAACTCGCCTCAATAACAGTGACTTTGGCTGCGACAACAAAGAGATTATATGTAGTGATTTCAGTGAGCTGATCATAATCAAGAGCCCCCTCAGATGTGTTGTACCCAGATCAGATAGGTTGACTCATCTAGAAACATGGCTTTAGGTCCAATCCATTATTGGTCTAGTTTTTCAGTGCTGTGGAAACTTACTTAATGATACATGATCACCTTTACCTGACATGTATGTAAGTAGACAGTATAAGACCCAAGGAGACAGTATAAGGTATTATAGGAATAATTTGCAAATTTATGTAAAAAAAGATAAAAATAAAAGCAAAAATGTTACTTGAACTACACCTACAAGTCACGCATACATGTACCTATTGTTATAATTCAAAGAAGATAACCCTTAATTGTTTACTGTTGAGAATTCCTCCTGCCATAAACAACAGAATAAAGACATCAGTCGTGATAAAGATCTTAATAAACTGTGCATTATTGTAATTATGTTTATTGTGCAGATTTCATAGCAGGTTTCTTCTTTCTGAGGCCATATATCGAGTGGCTTTATTTCACACCTGTAACCTTAATACATGTGAGCAGGTAGAGTACTTCACCAGGGTGTTTGCTATTCTAACACAACCATTGACTTGATTCATGGGTAAAGATAATATGGATGTTACCACTTCTGATACTGGTTGCATTACTCTGCACTGTTGTTACAAGTAAGTGGAATACATTTCAGAACTCTTTCAGCATGATCTCTTGATATGGGCAGAAGACTTTTTATGTATGTATATATACATATTCAGAAAGAAATATTTCAGTGCTTTGATTTGTGTTTGAAATAAGGGTTATTTAAAGGTTAAGTTATTTCAACATAACCACCTGCACATAGTTGTAGATATATAATGCACAGAATGATTAAAGCTTAATCTCAGTGGACTACTAGTATTGTCTGTATGTTTGTTTCACAGTAGCATATATTAATTACTAACCTATGTTACTAACCTTGAACTTCTGTCTGTACCAGCGGGTTTTGTTATCAGGTAGTAAAATGAAACTACTGCACATGCTTTCACACTTGAGACATATTGTAATATAGAACCTATAGAGAACCCTGCTAATGCTGCTTGTCATTATTATTATTATTTTTTGAAATATGTATGTTTATATGCTAGCACATGCAGGTGTTTTGATAGATCAAAATAATCATTATGTATATAACAACATGCAGCAGAGTATATTGTTCTGAAACATTATAAAAATACAGGCAAATTATGGACAGATTTGCCTATAACCACAGCTAGCATATACCGGTATACTTAACTAGTACTAAATGACTGAAAATTTGAGAATTATGATTATGAAATGTTCTGGGGTGAATTTGTGTATATGTGTGCTCTTGTGCAAAGGTGTGTTTAGAGATCTGAAATTAAAAAAACTATGTTTAGCCATGTTGAAGACATAATGATATCTTTAAAGAGTGTGTTGTAAAAATAAGTATCATTGAAAAAAACGAGTTTATAGCAGTTGAGGCATGATTTCTGTGATTTCCACATTGTAGCATTTTTTTAAAAATTTTATTACATGTATATGTTATAAATAGTGAGCAGAACCAGCATTAAATAAATTCACATATTACAGCAAAATGAAAGCAAACATTTTACAAAACATCTATTCTAACAAGTGCTTAGGTGTCAAGCTCCTTTTATCTTCAAAATATATGATTAGGATATAGTAATTAATAAATTCTTATTGTACTTTTTAAGTTCTAGTGTTATTATTTTTATGGCATGATAATTTTAATGACAAAAACATCTCTGTGGTAGAGTATGTTATTAAGCAACTATAGATAGGTTCTATTATATTAAATGATCTAGGATATGATACACACAGAACAAGTCAAAATGGTACTTTGTAGGTAATCATGTTATTTCCTTCAAAGGGGGCAACCAAAATTTAAAGAGAATCTGCAGTTTGCTGAACTAGTAAAGATAGTCACTATACATGTTTGTAGAAAGCAGAACCAGAAAGAGGTTAATAACAGCTACATATATGCTTAGATTTGGTGGTTTACATTCATGATTAGAAGAAAAAGGACAGCAGATAGTATATATCGAAGTTTGGAATCTGTTTTGGTAGAACCTAGATGCTGTTACAATAGCCATTGTTTTATTCTTTGGGTCTGTATGATAATGCAGTAGAAGCGACTATGGTTAGATGTTTCACTTCCAGGGTTAGATGATAATAATGCTCATGATGATTGTGATGTTGCAGAGTTTTTACTGAAGAGGAATAAGAATATGGTTGATGTATGTATGTATGTATGTGGAGTATGTGTTACATGTAGCTTACAGGGTTAATTCCTATATATATAGTTCCCATAATACATCTTTTGTATATATGAAGGTAACTTTGTGTGTGCAGTTTCAACCCCGTTGTGACTATAATGCACAGCAATAAGAAGTGCGCTTATGTCAGTGTGTGAAGAAGATTGATGGGAAAGGTTGGAGGTTCTGTTAGGATTATTGGGTAAATGATATCCTCTTAAAATGTATCCCCCCATGCCCTTCCCCATGAGCAAAACATGGGATCCACTAGTCTACACAGTGTTTCATTTTGTATATGCTTAACATAACATAGGGATGTGAACCAGAGGAGCAATCCACTTCTTTCTTAAACTATTTTTTTCTGCCATAGTATACAAATAAGACTGACATGTAATGTTAAGCTGTTGTAAATATTGTTATTCGTGTCCTGGACGAAATGACAGAGATTGTTTACCAAAATAGAAAGGTGTTTCATCTTTATCTCCTTGTCTCTTGAATGTGAGGGGAGTTTTTAAGGTGTTTTAGACAGTTATATATATATATCCCCTCACATTCAATATATATGTAACAGACGGACTCTCTTGTGGTTTAAAATATATTTATTGGTATAACTGAAATTTTCCCCCTGTAATAAGCAGTGACATATAATTAGATAAAATGACATACAACAAATAATAAATATGTAGTTCCTGTAACTGTTAAACACTTATATTTCTATAGTTCTATGTTTACATCTTTGATAAAGAAATAATACATTTGATACAGATTACTACGGCTTATAACGGCTTACCCTGATCTTATTCAAGGGTGTTTTAGAAAGAGTGCTGGTTACACCAATAGGTGGCTTGGTCTGAAAACTAGATAGTAGAGAATGCTGTAGTATAGCATAGTGCAATAGAGTTGGACACGTAAAAGACAAGATAGAATAGCAGATACTAAACTGAACTAGAATTTACTAGACTATCCTCAACTTACCACATACAGACAGATGTACAGCAACTCCAGCACTGTTTGAAAATCCGGCGCCAAGGTCTTTTATAACGAGACGTCACATGACACAGACGCGGGAAGACAGAACAAAGGAACATAGACAAAACACCAATTAGGGGGCGTCAGAATCACAGCAAGTCACAAAACAAGACAACTCGAGACGAGTGCATATTTATACATAGTTACATATATAAACAATGTTTTCAGTGTTGAGAATCATCTTTTCTAGATGTCTTCTTAAATCTGTTCACAAAGCTGAACTTAACTAGAGAATGGTCTGCATATCTGAACTGTAATGAATAGACAGTGGCTAAGACTTTGTATTTATTGTTTGCAGGATGAAATGACTGTCAGCTCCTCTGAGACAGCCATGGCAAGTGGTGCTGAAACAGAGTTGGAAGACGAAGCAGGAAGCAACGACATGGAGCAGTTGCTGGAGTCTAGGTGTGATGATGGGGTAGATGGCCATGTTATGTCAACGATACAACATCTGCGCCTGTCACCGGACCTTCACGTGCCAGACAGATACAACCACTTCACAATTCACAAACAGACCTCATACAGGTGAGCACAGTGCATTTGGTTCATATAGATAGAAGAATGATCTTGATTTGGTTTGGTGGCCCTCTGTGAGAGAATGTACTTTTTGAGGTAAGTTGAATGCCTTTTGCTGTAAAATAATCAGCAAGAAAAGGTTGGTGTTGAAGAAATGTGTTAGGTGTGACAGAGTGTGATTGTGATCTTTGCACTAAACTTAAAGTCTGAACACATCTATCACATCACACACCCACTATACTAAACTAATCCTCATAACTTGTTCTACCTTAGATCAATAGAAAATGTGAAGGCTTTATTTATAAAATCAATACTTCAGCGTGTCAGTGTAGTATGAGACCTTTGATCTCAGGTATGACTTTAGAATGAAACAAATGATTCTCAGTTTCCATAACAACCAAATTAATAACTGAAGATCACGTTACCTTATGATGTAGGAAGCTATCTTCTGTTAGAGGTGGCAAAGAAGGTAGCAAGCTTGATATGTGCTTTAGACCTCAGTTCCTGTATGCTAACTCTATGTGTCCTTTGGGCAGGGATGTTCTAGCTTCAACAGTATTTAGCAATATAGGAAAACCAATATATATATTTATATTTTTATTACCAAGTGACTAATTTTTTCCTCAAATCAGTGATGAATTGGCCAAATGCAATCAAACACATTAAATTTATTTTTAGTTTGTATTGATATTGACAAATATCTTTTAAGTCGATCATTATTAATTTAATCAAAAAATTGTGTTATGGATCAGTGATATTTATTATTTATTTTATTTATTTTTTGCTGCAAACATTAATAAACCTGTTTACAAGGGATCACATCCAGCTTGGTTGGAGTTTAGGTTTGGTTTTTGGGAGCATTTGCAAAGATACATTAGTTCTTGCATTATCACAGGAGAATGGCTTTGTGCAGATGGATTAGAGATAACCCCACTCTGAAAGCTGCCATGGAGACCTCTCCTCTACTGAAATGAGTAGAAGTAAGCATTTTGCTTGTTGACAAGGTTGAAAGGCTTTTCTTGTCTGAGCTCATTCCTATTTTTTTCACAGAGGCTTAATCAACTGATCTGTTTAGAAAGTCACCAAGGGAAAGCAGGACCAGGAATAGAACAGTGGGATTTGAGCAGTGATGCATTGTGCATAAGTACATGTAAAGGCTACATCTTGGTAAATGTTTCATCATGTTATAGTCTTGGGAGTATATGTTATTATTGTGATGACTTTTTTGACACCATCCCAGTGTGAATGAGATGTTTTATGTTTAGAAAAAACTATATGGATATTTTTGACTAAATTAAAGCTTCATTTTTGAAGTCAAATTTACCAGATATGGATTTATTGACTTGACTTGAGCATACTTTTGACAAGGTAGATTTTTCCTAGAAAATGAATTTCACAGCTTGAACGTTGGTCAACAACATTATAAATAACATGATTCTTAGTGATAAATTTATCAGAACTTACAAAGCGTCTGTCATTAGCTACTTAGACAAGAATAAAACTGATTATTAGCTTTTAATTTTTTAAAACAATTATTGACATTCCAAAATGGGGATACCTTGCTTTTTCTGATTATTTGACCATTTCTGTCCATTTCTCCCAACATCATCTCAATGAGAAAATGTGTTTTTGTTCTATTGTTTTGAATTATAGATAGTTCTCAGGTATTTAGAGATAAATATATTCTCTAGCCTTGTGAGCAATTTATGAAAGGAAATCTATTTCTGGACAAAATAAAGGATGAAAGAATAAGTCAGTGATCTTTTGTCAGATCTCCAAACATATTCTTTATGTCAGGTGGTAACAAACAGAGTTGAGAGTAATAAAAGTGGACAAGTCCCAATTCCACCAGGTTATAACAGTAAACTTGCATGTAGGCCAGTAACTTTGTTTTCTATAATTACCAATCTAATTGTCTAATCTAAGCTACACAATTCCCAGAAGTCTCTAGGTAAGTTACTTACACATGAACATGACAGAACATGCAATTGGGTATGGGTGAAAATACACTGCATATTTACTCTCTTAAAAGCAACCTCCTTTAAATCTATATTTTGTACCTTTTCTATGTATTCTATACACTTTGAATTTTTAACTTTCCTTTGTTCTAGATGTGTTATTTACTTGTATATAATGTGAAATGCTCTTGGGATATGCACATTGAGATTTGGAGTGTACACAAGCCTGCACTTTAATTTTTGCAGTATATTTTAAGATGTTTTTTATGAGCAGCTTCTAATCAGTATAATTTTGGTTCAGTGAATCCAACTCAAGCTCGGTTAATCCTTCTTAAGTGCATTCCATTATCAGTTGTTTCAGTTCATAAGCAGGTTCTATGGTGTTACTTTTAGTTGGTTTCCTTCCTGTTGTATAGAAATTTAATGATTTGTCTATTGAAACAAGTAGCCTGAGAATGGGCAGTTTGGGTTATGCATATTTCCTTTACTTAGAATTTAACTAGTACATATTGACCCAGGGGGTTACAGACTGTAAGCTTTTAATGAAATATGGCATCTATCAGACAGCTTCAAAACCAACAGTCTCACACAAATTCATTCATTTTGCCCTTAAGCGTATCAATTCTGAATCCGCCATACATATATTTTGCATTTTGATCTAAATGCCACTCCAGAACTACAGTTAAAGAATAAGGGCTGATTATAAGTGCAGATTACTCCATGAAATGGATTTCGTTGTCTTTTTATGGTTTGCCTCATGTAAACTTCACCCGATTCCTTCTTTAAAAACATTGTATCCAATATTGCTTTTTGTGAAAATTATTTTTCAAATGAAATATGTTTTGCTGATGTGATCTTAAATTTTGATAATATTACAACTAGTTACTACTAATTAATACTAAAATATGTTTTACATGTCATACTTAAGTTGTGTGTGCATGCATGGGTGCACGTGAAAAATTGTCACAAACCTGTATTATATTACACAAGAAATCTGCCTCCAATGTCTTTAATACAATATCTAATAGTTAATTTCAGCTGGATTTGATGATTATTGCTAGTTTCTTAGTTCTGGAGCAGCCTTCATTCATGACCAGCTTTCATTCATATCCCTTTTCAAAATATATTACTAAAAGAGCAAAGAAAAGATTGCAGCTGTTATGGAAGAAACAGATGTTCAGTTATGTAATCATCATGAAGGTACAGGTATATTTGCAGGTGCTACAAGTTTCATGTCTCTTTCTCTGCCTACAGCTAGTCAACGAGGAGAATATATGAATTCAGATAAATGTTATGATAATCAAAAGAAGAAAAAATTATTTTGTTTTTATTGATGAATTGATTTATATAATTCTTAAAGATTGAGCTTGTGTTAATATAAAGATTTTTCCTGGAAAATTTGATAGTGTAAAGTTGGTGTTTCCAAACTGAATACTTAAAGGTGAATGTCACTCTGTGGATCCTAAAAATGAATAAAATGATCATTTCTAGTAATCTTCTGCACATTTTGATCATTTCAGAAATTAACAACTGGGTATTGACATCACTGCCCATTGTAATGTGTATAAGAGAAGAGACATCACTGGTGTTAAGCAGGCTCTGCTGTGACTAGAAATTATTATTTTATTCATTTTAGGTCTCAGAAAATGACATTCTTCTTTAATTGTGTACTCCAGAAACGGAATTTTAATTTTTGGCAGTGCTCTTCTCATTATGCCCCTGGCAACTCCACCTATTTTGATAATATAAGGCACTGTTTCCAAATGTGATTTTTAGACCAAATTGCTAATATTTAAGTCTATATTAAATTTGTTGTCATCTTTCACCATTATGCACCTCTGTGTCCCAAGGTTGTTTTGCTAGTAATGCAGTTTAAAGTTCTTTAAATATTTATGAAAAGCATTGCTAATCACTCAACACTCATTCACAACACTTTTCATTTTGACGTAAAATATTGGTTTTTATTTATCAAATGCAAAGGCAGGATTACTCATTATTCACAATTGGAAAAAAAAGGATGTTATGAATTTGGAGCTATTATTTGTTAGATTGAGATCAGTTGCAATCTTTCTGCTAAATGCAGATTTGTAAAGAAAAAATAAATTTCTATAGCTATGATTCATTTATACTGTCATTGTATAGAATTACTGACAGCATCACTTACAATTATAGCCACTTGTATTACTAACTTGAAAGCCCACAGATATTGTATTATATGTATTAAGGACTGGGAGGGGGGGTGGGTATAAATACTTCCAAATAAACTTATTGATAATATGAATAATGTTAACCCAAATAGACTTTGAATTATATTCCTTTATAAACTAACATAACTTTGATACATTTGTTTGCCAGTGTGCTATGTTACAGAAGCATGTGTGGGAAGACATAATAGACAGAATATGTTGGCAGAAAAGGACACAGATCTCACATTAGTTTTGATTTAGATTGTTCTAAAGATAACAATATGGTTTATTTTTGATGTGCTTTACTGCAACCATATTGTGCAAATAGTATTCAAAACAAAATCGGCGTGGGTTCTGTTTTATTGTGAAAAGGCATCAGCATCCCCAGAGAATTATAAAAACTGATAGAGCTTGAATTATTCTTTATAAAGATGCAGTGACCCCTAAAATTTTGATGAAATAGTATTTTTTGTTATCTTATGAAGCTTATTCTAAGCTGTATTCACTTAGTTTTCCTAAATGAGAGATAGACCAAACACCTTATTATTTATCCAGTACTCTCAGAAAAACACAACTTATTAACAATATATGAATCACAAATACCATTTTAAGAACTCCATCAGCCAATGTAGAAGAAACGTCTATCATTTACCAGATGAAAAATTGGTTTTGTTAATCAGGAAAGGAAACAACAATAAAGCAAGTGAAGTCTTTCAAAGCAAGGCAACTTATGCAATGCACATGATAGAAAGAAACAGAAGATTAATGAACAAGATCTGCATGCCTCAAATAAAGGAACCCATCACATTACAGCACATCTAACATTACATTCTGTACAGGCATTGAGACAACCTTAGAGATCCAT